GTAGGTCTTATTTTCGGGGAAACAGGGTATAATGCACGTGACACTACACTCACAAGTTAAATCTTTAAAATACATTCAAGTATCTTAACTACGGCATTAACACAAATGTATCTTATTTGTGTATCACTCAGCTATAGATCCTCAAATCATCTCTGAATTGGTGCTGACACTGTCCTTCCTTCTGGAGGGTGGTTACTGTTGTTCCCCATGGCCCCTGTGTGTGTTGTAAAGTAGTCACTGCTCCAAGCTCGCTCCTGTGATGGACTACAATCTCAGTACAAATTAGTAAACTAAAACATGAGATTGTAGTCCATCACAGCAGTGAGCTTAAACCATTCAGTTTAATTGCTCTGTACGAGTATTAACTCAAGTTCTGATCCATGACTGAAGTAATTTTTTCAGTGGAGAAAATTAACATGTTTTCATCTGCAATTTCACATACATACTGCAACAGCCTCAGGGCCTTTTTTTTTATAACACAAAAATATTAAGTTAATCTATCATTAAACTTTCTGACATTTTATAAACCACAAACTCTGCACTGTGACACAACATATTAAACTAGAACTGTTTATCTGGATAATCTCCTTATATTCTGACATTCGGGAAATACAGGAATACATTAGGAAATATGCCATACCTTCAGAAAGGATCTGAAATGTGTTTTGTTACAGATAAACCTTTTCAGATAAAAAGAAATAAGCAAATGGGTGTACCAATTTACAAAGGTGATGTTTTGGGGATTGTGATGCCAGCAAGCAGCAGGTTGTCTGGTTTATTGTGAGGTTTAGCTGAAAAGATAAGTTTATGGTAATAGATAATATATATATTATTTCTGATTTACAGCACAAAATGGATAGTGACTGATTTTGAGCCTTCAAATACTTAAATATTTGGTTGGTTAAAGAAAAGCTCTGTAGAACAATAATTTAAAACAGTACAGTAACATGTTGTTTACCTGTTTTTGGGGGGTTTTTTTGGGATGCACTGTTTAAAAGAAAAGAAGTAATAAGTGTACTTTTGTGAAAAATTATCCCGCGTTAGATAGTTTCACTATACTACCCCAAGCAGTAATAGCCACTGAATTGCAATAGAAAAGAGCCTTGTTTCCGCAAGCCAACTTGTATGGGTGTGGTCAAATTGGTGGAAATAAATCCTATGATTATGTATAGAAGGGATGAGGCCTAGACACCAACCTAAGGACAAGATCAGTTTCTGTTGGATTCATGGGGAATAATGGCTTGCACGCTGACCCCCGCCCCTACATTTGTCTTCACCTCAACATACAGGCACCCATATCTGTGCACTATCAATGGACTTTATGTAGACAGTGTTCCTGCCCTTGTACAGGCCAGTCTTTGGGAATGGTGGTCTCTTCTATTGGTAATGCACCCCACAAAAACAAAAATACACTTAGTCTTCAAATTTGAGCTACAAATAAACCTTGTCTCAGATGATATTATGCCACTGTTAATTGCAGACAGGAAGTAGTCATTACACTGAATGCAACTTTACCAATCACTGAGTTTTTCTAACTTGCTAAAGTTATTTGTTACATTAATACTCATTCATGCATTTTATATGCAGCCTATATTTGATTCTGTTCATGCAAATTGACTCTTGGCCATAGATAACCTTGGAAACAGGAACATTGCATTAGAGAATATCTGTACATATTAGGTTCATTAAAATGACATAATAAATATTCATATGCAATATTTTATATATGCCTGTTATTATTTTTTGGTATGGGCATAAAAAATTTAAGAAAAAAAACCAACAAAACCACTCTTAATTTCCTTTGCTGTATCTACGAGTACTGAATATAGATCTTAATAAGATTGCAGGCTTTAGCCCTAAACAATCTTTTTGCAAGTTTCAGCACTTGGGTTTGACCTCTTGAGCAGGACAGGGGGGCACAAAGCAGAAAGACTTTTTAACCACTTGCTGACCAGGGTGTTTACACCCGCTTCATGTCCAGGCCATTTTTTAGTATTCAGCGCTGCAGTAATTTGACTGACATTTATTCAGTTATGAAACGCTGTACTGAAATTAATTTTAAAAAATGTTTTGGGGTCAAATAGAGCTTTCTTTTGGTGGTATTTAATCACCACTTTAATTTTTTACTATATAATGAAAAAAGTACAGAAAATTCTGGGAAAAAAACGGTTTTCCCTACGCTATGTTATAAAACATTTATTATTACCCAAATTTTTGGTAAAATATAAAAGACGGGGTCACGTTGGGTAAATAGACACCAAACATGTCAAGCTATAAAATTGTGTGTGCCCGTGAGATCGCAAGAAACTACCATACCTAAATTTGGCCATAGGCAAATCTTTAAAAGCTGTTACCGCTCACGATATTCGCGGCAATATGTAACATGTGCAGCGCAATTGGTGCAATCGTCGCTTTTTTGCACGTAGGGGCACTCGACGCTTGGTTATGTGGGAGCGGGGGACTTAAACATTTTTTTTTTAACTGCTATTATATGTGACTTTAAAAAAAAAATTTGGAACTCATTTTTTTTAACCTTTTTTTCACTTAACTTTATTGCTATCATATAGGGGACTAACAAACCCCCTATGTGATAGCCAATTTGCAGTGACAGGTCCTCTTTATGGAGACATCAAGGGTCTTTAAGACCCCTAATGTCACCTAGAGACCCCCAGAGAAGGTGATGAAGCAGAGACTTGCTTCACCAGCTTCTCTCTAGCTTCTGTACTGGAGAGTGACAGAGGAATGTGGAAGAGATGTAATATACATCACCTCTTGCATTCCGACGAGGAGGAGGAGATCAAACGGAGAACGTGTACTAATCTCCATTTCATCTCCGGTCACAGACCTGCTGTGCTGGTCCCAGGCTTACACTGGGCACAGCGTAGCTTTGGATAGCCAGCAGCGGCTGCGACGTGTATGTGTGCACACCTGCACACATATTACAATCGATCGGGCCTCTCTGCAGACGCCTGAACACTTGTATGTAAACAGCCATCGGTAGCTGTTTACTTTTCAAGCTGATTTCCCGCTCGTGCCTGCCACATAGCGTGGGCATGAGCAGGGCGGGAAGGGACATTAAAAAAAGCCCACCCGCATCCAAGAAACCGCTGTCCGGCCAGACAGCAGGTGGTTAAAAGGTCAGTTGAACAGAAATTTTTTAAAAATCCAGTTTACATCTTTACCTGTCACATATCTTTGCTACCACATGTTTTTAACGTCCCCACCCGCATGCGTCGGGTGCACGTACGTGGGAAAACGACAATTGCGCCCATTACGCCGCACATGTTACATATCGCCGTGAACGTTGCAGTGAGAACAATAATTCTAGGGCCATTAATCATTGATAACACTAAACTGATGAGCAGTAAAAGCTTTTAAAGCGTTGCCTATGGTCAATTTCGGGTATGGAAGTTTTTTGCAATTTTGCGGGTACGCACAATCTTAAAGCTCGACGTGTCAATTTTTGTTTAATTATTTTGTATTTTTATCACTTTTTTTCTTAACTTTATTGATATCACATTGGGGCTTGTTGTCATTCAGAGGTGACAGGTTCTCTTTATGAGCCTGCCCTCCAGTACAGAAAATCTAGCACAGCATTGGGCTCTATCTTCCGTACAGCTCAGATTGTGACAGCTGACACAGGAAGCACTGTGAATACAGCACTCCTGTGTCACTGATCACAGAGCAGAGCGGAACCATGGCGGGGAGTGGGCGCAAGGGGGGCAGACTTTGAAGGGGAGGGGCTGGCAGGGGGGAACGGACCAGCAGGCTGCTCTACAAATGATTGGGCAGATCACTTGTACTAAATGAGCAGCCATTTAAAGATAAAAGTGCAGGCATCAGCGCTACCGTGTTTCCCCGAAAATAAGACACTGTCTTATATTTTTTTTTGGCTCAAAAAATACACACTAGGTCTTATTTTCGGGGTAGTTCTTATTTTTTTTTTAATGTATAACAATCCAAAGTTAATGCAAATCCATATTAAATAATCCAAAATGGCAAAGTTAAGAATAGGATGATCAGGTCAATCAGGGGTGCAGCACCTTTCCATGAGCAATTTGGTAACCAGAATGAGTGAAGCGCGCTTTCACTATCGATTCCTCACAGGCGGAGGGCATTTGGTATCACTCCGCCTGTGACAGGAGACGGCGCTATAGAGGAGGTATCGGCTTATGCGACTCTGCTCCCTCCGCTGCCGCCTCGCTTCTTTTAGCGCTGGTTTCTTGGCACCTCTGATTCTCTCCCACGGCTCTTCAAGTTCCCCTCTTATGCCCTGGGAATGGTCACATCCAGGTCTTATTTTCGGGGTAGGTCTTATATTTTAGCAATTCCCCAAAAAAGTACTAGGTCTTATTTTCGGAGTAGGTCTTATTTTCGGGGAAACAGGGTATAATGCACGTGACACTACACTCACAAGTTAAATCTTTAAAATACATTCAAGTATCTTAACTACGGCATTAACACAAATGTATCTTATTTGTGTATCACTCAGCTATAGATCCTCAAATCATCTCTGAATTGGTGCTGACACTGTCCTTCCTTCTGGAGGGTGGTTACTGTTGTTCCCCATGGCCCCTGTGTGTGTTGTAAAGTAGTCACTGCTCCAAGCTCGCTCCTGTGATGGACTACAATCTCAGTACAAATTAGTAAACTAAAACATGAGATTGTAGTCCATCACAGCAGTGAGCTTAGAGCGCTGACTACTTTACAACACACACAGGGACCATGGGGAACAAAGCAGCCACCCTCCAGAAGGAAGGACAGTGTCACCATGAATTCAGAGATGATTTGAGGATCTACAGCCGAGTGATACACAAATAGAATATACGTCTGTTAATAGTTAAGATACCTGAATGTTTTTAGGGTTTAACTCCCCAGTTTGTTGTCACTTTAACTGTGCAGTCATAAAAGATACAAACTGCAGCTTAGTGGAGTGGCAGTGAAGGCAATGCCCTCTCTTTGCACAGATACATTCTTTCAGTCATAAAAGGAGTACTTGCCAGAGGCTGGTAACCTTTAGCAGACTTCACAAATGCAGCAGGAATGGCCCAGCAGAAGGATACATTGACACTGATGGTTTCCTCTCACAGACACAAGAAGGTGCTGCTTCTGTCCCACTTGATCAGGAGGGTCTTCCACACGATATGGACCTCCTTGGCAGGATTCCTGTTCTGTCCCTGCAGATGGGAACACTCCCCCTGTGTACAGCCTCGCTTTCCCTCACAGTCTGTGTATCTGTCCCTCTCTGGTTCCACAAATACATTACACAAAATGGAGGCTGAACTCTGTTTATCTGTGAGAGCCAACACAATATGGTCGACAAAATCTCGAGAGAACTCGTGCCCTATCAGAACACAAGGCTTCCCCAAGATGGCTGCCGGAGACAAGTACAGAGAACAAGTTTTCCTCTACAGGTTTTCACAGAATGGAACAACAATCCTCTGGCTGTATTTATGAGGAAGTGAGCAATCTGTAATTACTGTGCCACTCCTCCTCACAGCTAGCTTGGCTGCCCTGCACTTAGTGACACCTACCTACATGCATCATGTTTCCTGGACTTCCTGGTCATGTGGCCTGGAGCCAGTCCCACCTGCTTGTCACTATGTAGCAATAGGCAGTGCACTTAAATGCATTTTTAGGTTTTAACTCCTGCGTTTAGTGTCACTTTGAATAAACCCTGACCCTACTCTACTATGGGGGAAAAATGTGTAACACACGGATTGAAGGGATCTGGAGTGTGTCATGCACAGACTTCAGGGGTCAAAAAGGGGTAATGCATGGAGTGCAGCGGTCAGGAGTGTGTAACGCAGAACACAAGAAACAAGAGGGTATGGCGCAGAGAGCAGGATTCAGGGACATGTAACAGGGGCCATCAGTAGGTGACGCATGGAGAACGGGGGCCATCAGTAGGTGACGCATGGAGAACGGGGGCCATCAGTAGGTGACGCATGGAGAACGGGGGCCATCAGTAGGTGACGCATGGAGAACGGGGGCCATCAGTAGGTGACGCATGGAGAACGGGGGCCATCAGTAGGTGACGCATGGAGAACGGGGGCCATCAGTAGGTGACGCATGGAGAACGGGGGCCATCAGTAGGTGACGCATGGAGAACGGGGGCCATCAGTAGGTGACGCATGGAGAACGGGGGCCATCAGTAGGTGACGCATGGAGAACGGGGGCCATCAGTAGGTGACGCATGGAGAACGGGGGCCATCAATCCCCCCTCCCCCTCGTGTCGACCCCAGAAGTAAACTTACCAGACGTCAGACACAACGGTAGACTCCAGCGAGCAGTGACGTCCTCGCCTGTGTCACATGACGCTGCATCAGAGAGGAGGAGCCTGAGGAAGCCATGCACTTTGTAAACACAAATACAGCCGCTGTATCTAGGTTCGGAGGCGGCCGAATGTGATATCGTCAGAGCCGAGGAGGAGGAGCCTAGGGGAGCTCTCTCGGCTCTGTAAACACAGATACATACGACACATGTGAAATCGCCGGAGCCGAGAAGGAGGAGCCTAGGGGAGATCTCTCGGCTCGGTCTGACTCTGTACACAGTACACACGGGTAGTACCGCTTTACCTGAGGCAGTATGACAGTGCAGCGCTGCTTCAAGAAATAGGGACCGGGATATGTGGGCACCGCACCAGACAGCCGGAGACGCTTGTTTGCTGGAGATAGACTACTCAGGACAGGGACACAGCTGGAGTGCTGAGATTACCTATCCCCGGGTTATTGTATGGGAGGAGGAGAAGCTATGGGCCCTCTGTATAAGGGCCCATTCACACCTGCACGTTGGCGGAAAAGCGCTTGCGGTGTCATTCACTTCTAATGGCACCCCAAATGCGGCCAGTAAGACGGGCGTTTTTGCTCTGCATTTGAGCACGTGAAAAATGCGTACAAACGCGGAAGCAAAACATTTAGCACGTGCGTCATGCAAAATACTAGATTGTGAAATCAATGGGGGCGCATGGCAAATGTGAAAGCGCACAATTGTGCATGGATGTGATGTGCATTCCCGCCATGTTCAGGTGTGAACCCAGCCTAAGGCCCCGTTCACATATAGCGACATACCTTTTGCAGCGGATCCGCACGGCCGGGATAGCGCGACTTTCGGGGCGACGGTAGCGCGACCTTCCCCGTCGGGCTCCATAGAAAAAAAGTAAAATCGCGCAAAATCCGCCGAAAAAAGGGTCCGGTAGAAGCGACTTGCGACCGCGACGCGCGACATGGAGTTAAGACAGCTCCATTGAATAACATTGTCCGGCGACTTCTCGCGATATCGCGCGGCAAAAATGCGCGATATCGCGGCGGAAATCGCGCGACAATTCGCTATATGTGAACGGGGCCTTAGAAGGGTGTGATAATACACATGGGGGTCCAGGTAGGTCGCGTTATTATACCAGGACCAATTAACCCTTTCGCTGCCAAGCCCTCCGGAACATTTTTCAAATCAGCTGGCCAAGCAATTTTTGAATTTTCTGCAATTTTTTCCTATTGATTTGATTTTCAACTGCTGCGTTGCTAGCGTTTGTAAAAGACCCCCCAAACCATATATTTTCTGAAAGATCCAGAGAGGCTTATTTCGATTTTTTTTGGATTTGCTGCAAGAACTGTAGTATCTAGATATTGGAGGTCTCAAGATACACCTCAAATTAAAGATTGGGTCAAAGTAATGCATTTTTTTAAGAAGGGTTGAAGAGTTAGAAGCGCGATCCCAGAACAGGTACCCACAATTTCTGGCGACATGGAAACCATGGATAGAGTCTGACATCACTACCATGTGCTTACCTGGGATGTGAGGCTCACTTGCATGGCCATTGGAGAGGAATGAGGAAATGAGACTGACCTTTTTTTTTTTCCTTTCCAATTCATTTAGTTTTTTTGGGTGGTTAAGGATGGGTTCACACCTAGGCGTATGGAATATGCGCGTTTGTCGTGATTCGCGGTAAAAAAAACGCGTTTCCGAGGGCTACCTGGCTGTATCCCAATGGATACGCGCGGCAAATGCGCCCCAAAGAAGCTCCTGTACTTCTTTGGGCGTAGGGCGTTTTGCAGCGTGTTCCTATGCGCTGTAAAACGCCCAGGTGGGAACCATGCCCATAGGCAATCATTGGTTTTCACATGTTGAGCGTTTTACAGAGCGTAGGAACGCGCTGTAAAACGCCCAGGTGTGAACCAGGCCTTAGGGATGGGAGGGATTTTGGGTTGTTGTTGTCCTTGCTTTTTTTTTAAGTTGAGACCCCCAGGGGGGAAAGAATGGTTTTAATATCAATGGGAAAGGAAATTTATGGTGGCTGTTTTAGGAAGAAGTTTTCAATATCTTTGTTCTGTTTCTGAATGGATTTCTCCCTGGGAGAGTCTTTTAACGAGATGTTTATATGTCTGTATTGTTATATATAGAAACAATAAAGACATTTACAATAATACACATGGGGGTCACTGCTGCTACACGAACAACACCAGTAGTGAGGTGATCAGATCCTTCGAACTACAGCTAGATAGACAAAAGAAATGCATGTGGTACTCTATTCATAAGGTCACATGTAACTGCTGGGGTGCAGGGCAGTAATATTGTGTCGTAACGATTAATTAAACCTGCACTTTTTTTGGCAACACACCACAACATGCACCGCATCTGCACCGGCAAGCTGTGTTGGGGCACCATTTGGAATCAATGGCGCCATTGCATAGTGTGTGGTGCCATGCATTACAAGATCACGCATGTTCCTGCAAAACAATTATGTGAATAAAGTCTAACGTAGACCTTCATTCAGTGAAACCATTTTTTGGCCCTGGTTCCCCCTCTTCCAACATTGCATAAGGTTTGCTCATTTTATGTGTATTACGCTTTTTGGGCAGCGGCCCATGCTTTTTCCCACCTAGGCGAGAATGACGTGGGCCCCCCTTCCCGTTGCATTCTGGGATGTCCATGTCACATATCCCACAACAAAATTTTACTGAGGGGTGCAAATGTGTCACCAGATTCTGCACATGAGCAGACATGGTGCTGCTCTCTGCCAGGTATTAGGCAGCTGATATGCCGCATGTCTGTATACATGGGGGGTGGGGGTTCCTGTACATGCACACACTTCACGCAGGTCTCTACAAGGTCCTGGATGCCAGAAACCAGCGTGCACACATGTGCAGATGTGCTGCAGGTCTTAAAGCAGAACCCTTGGGCAAATAGAATCTTAACCTTTTCAGTGGGGTCACCCCTGTACTGCAAGGGTTAAATGCCCATGTTTGTCTAGAGAGCTAAAATAACAAAGTTATACTCACTCACCCGAACTACGATCCCAGCTGGGTCCCTTCATCTTTCCTCTACCCAAGCAGTGTAAGATCCTGCGAGTCATTACATCCAATACAAAACACGGCTGGGCACATGCAGAATACATGTCGCAGATTTTGCTATATGCACTACTTTTCCGCGTTTGTCGTGCGTTCAGTTACCTGTTGAGATCAATGGGGACGCGTGCAAATGCGGTAAACAAAGGCAACACATGTTCCAACTACGCTCAGGTGTGAATGGAGCCTTAAGGGGTAGCGGACAACCTCCAGGCATACCTGCTAGGGCTCGACCGATATGTTTTTTTCAGAACTGATACCGATTATGGGCCGCCTTTCTACCCGATAACTGATATCAGGAGCCGATATGATATTCTGTTTACATTCAGCTGCAGAATCTTGCATTGGCAGGTGAACACATAGCTCGGTTATTGGGCAAGATTCTGCAGCTGAACAGGAGGTAATAGCCAATAGAGGGCTGCCTATTGCAATGGCAGACACCCACTTTCTACTGTCAATCAGCAGAGGAGCAGAGCTGAGAAAATTCTATCTCTGCTGTTTAGCAGTGGGCGGGTGAAATAGCCAGCCTGCTATTGGCTTTTGCCATTTGAAATAGCCAATAGCAGGCTGGCTATTGCTGCCACCCACTGCCTGCTGTTTACATTCAGCTGCAAAATCTAGCTGCCGACTTCCCTTCACTGTCCACACTTATCAGTAATATCGGTCAATTTAAAGAGGACCTTTACACTCAAAAATCAAATTCTATCAATGCATCCCTCCTATGTATGATGATTAAGGCCTCATTCACACAGCTTAGAGTCAGCCCGTACAGATCTTTGCGGTGTGCACAGCGGTATCAGGCAGTTCCAGGGAGGGACAGGTGCGTGTGATTGTACACAGCAGCCTGT